CGCGGGGATTTGCTTGAACCATTGTCGTAACACAGACAAGAATGTATGTAAAATAAGAATTCATGTACAAGTCACACATCACGACTGACAAAATCGTGGGCAAAGAGATACGTCATAAATCTTTACGCCTGCAAATACGACAGCAGCAAACCCTATTAATGAAAGGCTTCAGTGTCTTTTGTTCTGCGTCGATGAGTGAATGAGTGAGTGAGTGTGTGTGTGTGTATATGTGTGTGTGTGTGTGTGTGTGTGTATGTGTGTGTGTGTGTGTGTGTGTGTGTGTGTGTGTGTGTGTGTGTGTGTGTGTGTGTGTGTGTGTGTGCGAGTATGTGTGTGTGTGTGTGTGTGTGTGTGTGTGTGTGTGCGAGTATGTGTGTGTGTGTGTGTGTGTGTGTGTGTGTGTGTGTGTGTGTGTGTGTGTGTGTGTGTGCGTGTGTGTGTGTGTGTGTGTGTGTGTGTGTGCGTGTGCGTGTGCGAGTGCGTGTGTGTGTGCGTGTGCGTGTGCGTGTGCGTGTGCGTGTGCGTGTGTGTGTGTGTGTGTGTGATACATTATATATACATACACACGTAATGCCGATTAAAACAAAACAAAAAAAAAATTGTTCTTTCTAACTTTCCTCACAAAAGCCCTACGCCCGAGGTAGTCAGCCCCATACCACTTTAACGCAGAAAAAACAGCACAGATATAAAAATTAACATATGAATAATAGATATAGATATATTATAGTAGAAAAAAACAGCACAGATATAAAAATTTACATATGAATAATAGATATATATTTTTTTTTCATTAACGAAACACTTGTGATAATTAATAATTGTTATAATAATTGATAATAGCTATAATAATTAATAATATATATAATCATATATATCCACATGTTATAATAACTGAATGTGTATATATAATAGACAAATGATGGATTGATAGATAAATACATATCTGTCAGATAGACAGGCATATGCATTTATTTCTGTTGTACATGCATGTCCGCATTTATGAATATTCATTATGTAGATTCTAACGACTTAATAAATATTCATAAATACGATTTTAAAAGAACGACCGAAAATAAAAGATAATAGAATCGTCTGTGTATTTTATATATTGCTAATTGCCTTTCCTTTTATATAATCAAGTTTGTTAAAAAAAAAAATATGTATGTATATATATATTGAATTTCATTGTGGTTTTGCTGCTAGTTTTTCCTTTTGTATATCTATTAAAAAAAGTTCCAATTTCAGATGAAAAACTGTTTTTGAGTTTAGTTATCAGATGAAGAGATATATTGTAACAGATTTGAAGAGAATTCACAAATTTACGTGAAAATCCTACTTAACAGATCAGTTTCATTGTAAATTCCTAGTGAAATAGTATATTTTGATTACAAACAAAACATCAAATCAAATTTCAAAAAAAAATCAACTTCAAATAAATAAATCAATTCAAAACAACCATCCGAAACCAAATCCTCTGAGTCCAGATTCCGCCTTACCACGAAAGTATCCTTGTACTGAGGGCCTATCGAGGGGTCCACGGTCACCGCGAAGGCCTCGGCGCGGTCGGGAAGCAGCCGCTTGATGAGGCCCTCGACGGCATCTGCCTGGGCTTCGCTGGAGGAGCTCGGAGCCAGCTGGTTCAGGTGCGTCTCCCAGGGGCGGCCGGCGGCTGCTGGGGTCGCTGGCGAGGAGGACGGGCGGGGGCAGTGGCTCAGGTGTTATTGCTTTTTAGCATTATCACTATTATTATTACATTATTATTACTATTATTATTATTATTTCTATTATTATTATTATTATTATTATCATTATTATTATTATTATTATTATTATTATTATTATTATTATTATTGCCATTAGTAGTAGAAGTAGTAGTAATATCATTATCATTATCATTATCATTATTATCATTATTATTATTATTAGCATTATCAGCATTATCTTCATTGTTATTATTATTATCATTGGTATTATTTGTATTATAAGTGGTGGTGATGTTGCTACCTTTGTTCTTGTTATAATAAGATCATACTACCATTATTGTTGTTATTTATGTCATCCTCCCCCTCCCCCTCCCCTTCCCCTTCCCCCCTTCAACCAAAATTCAACCAAAGTCGCTTTTCTGATTCATTTCCATTTTTCACATCGTTGGTCTCCTTTCGTTCAGCACCTATGAACCGTATTCTTGTTGACAAATGCATTAAAGGTATGAATAAGAAGGGCTATTTTCACAATACAAGAGATGTCTTGACCGGTATTTCTGACGAAGACATAATCGAAACCAGTCAAATACATCTCTTGTATCATGAAGACACGCACTCTTATTCATACCTTTTCATTATCTAACAAGGAGACTCAGGCACTCTCTTTCCCTATTGACTGACTGGTCGAGATAAAGCTTCACTTCATCGGTTTCGAAACCCTGTTCTTGAAACAGAGGGATTATGATTTCTGTTTCGGGTGTTGGGTTAGTCTCCCTTGCCCAAAAAAAAACGATTTTAAACATTACAAGTGAAAACATAATTTTGAGTTAATTTTTTTTATCTGAAAGAAATTACTTCTTTTTTATTTGATTTTTATATATTTCCTTCATGTTATATCAGTAATACATATTACCCCTTAAAGGATATATATTTAAAAGGTCGTATATTTATCTTGTGCCCTTTGTGAACACTGATTGTAAAACGTCTTCACATTGTAATATATTTTCTAGTTCTTGCACTATTGCACTTCTTGTAAGATTTCTGAAAATTCTCTCTTTTTAAATTAATTTGTCTAAGTGTTTCGTTTTGGAATAATAAATGTTTTTCTCTTTACGTCAGATTTTTTTTATGTCTGTTTGTTTTTCTTTCTTCCTTTCTTTTATATTTTCAGTTTTGCTTTAATTGCAAGTCAAGATTTTTATTTCGTTTTCTTTTCGCAAACTTTGTTGCTCTGTTTAAACAGCTTTCGTTCTATCTTCAAGTTCATTCAAATAAATTTGCCTTCCTTTTCTTGCAGTTTCATTTATTACACTAAAGGCAATTTATGACCTTTAATTAATTTATTACTATCATTATTATTATTATTATTATCATTATTATTATTATTATTATTATTATTATTATTATTATTATCACTATCATTATCATTATTATCATTATCATTATCATTATTATTATCATTGTTATTAATATTACTATTATTATTATTATTTCTATTATTATTATTATTATTATTATCATTATTATTATTATTATTATTATTATCATTACTATTATTACTACTACTACTACTACTACTATTATTATTATTATTATTATTATTATTATTATTATTATTATTATTATCATCATTATTATTATTGCCATTAGTAGTAGAAGTAGTAGTAAAATAATTATCATTAATATTATTATCATTATCATTATCATTATTATTATTATCACTATCATTATCATTATCATTATTATTATTATTATTATTATTATTATTATTATTATTATTATTATTATTATTATTATTATTATTATTATTATTATTATTATTATTATTATTATCATTATCATTATTATTAAGTGGTGGTGATGTTGCTACTGTAGTTCTTGTTATAATAAGATCATACTGCCATTATTGTTGTTATTCATGTCTTCCTCCCCCTCCCCTCCCCCTCCCCTTCCCCTTTCCCCCTTCAACCAAAATTCAACCCAAGTCGCTTTTCTGATTCATTTCCATTTTTCACATCGTTGGTCTCCTTTCGTTCAGCACCTATAAACCGTATTCTTGTTGACAAATGCATTAAAGTTATGAATGAGAATGGCTATTTTCTCAATACAAGATATGTATTGACCGGTATTTCTGACCAAGACATAATCGAAACCAGTCAAATACATCTCTTGTATTCATGAAGACACGCACTCTTATTCATACCTTTTACATTATCTAACAAGGAGACTCAGGCACTCTCTTTCCCTATTGACTGACTGGTCGAGATAAAGCTTCACTTCATCGGTTTCGAAACCCTGTTCTTGAAGCAGACGGATTATGATCTCTGTTTTCGGTGTTGGGTTAGTCTCCCTTGCCAAAAAAAAAAAAAGATTTTAAACATTACAAGTGAAAACATAATTTTGAGTTCATTTTTTTCATTTGAAAGAAATTACTTTTTACTTATTTGATTTTTATCTATTTCCTTCATGTGATATCAGTAATACTTCGCATATTACCCCTTAAAGGATATATATTTAAAAGGTCGTATATTTATCTTGTGCCTTTTGTGAACATTGATTGTAAAACGTCTTCACATTGTAATATATTTTCTAGTTCTTGCACTATTGCACCTCTTGTAAGATTTCAGAAAACTCTCTCTTTTTAAATTAATTTGTCTAAGTGTTTCGTTTTGGAATAATAAATGTTTTTCTCTTTACGTCAGATTTTTTTATGTCTGTTTGTTTTTCTTTCTTCCTTTCTTTTATATTTTCAGTTTTGCTTTAATTGCAAGTCAAGATTTTTATTTCGTTTTCTTTTCGCAAACTTTGTTGCTCTGTTTAAACAGCTTTCGTTCTATCTTCAAGTTCATTCAAATAAATTTGCCTTCCTTTTCTTGCAGTTTCATTTATTACACTAAAGGCAATTTATGACCTTTAATTAATTTATTACTATCATTATTATTATTATTATTATCATTATTATTATTATTATTATTATTATTATTATTATTATTATCACTATCATTATCATTATTATCATTATCATTATCATTATTATTATCATTGTTATTAATATTACTATTATTATTATTGTTATTGCTGTTATTATTGATATTATCATTATTACCATTATTGTTGTTGTTGACGTTGTTGTTGATATTATCAGCATCACTATCACTAATAGTGTTAATATTATCATTATTGTCAACTGAACTACTGACATCATCAGCAAAACCTCACAATATAGACAAACTAATAATATTTCGAAACCCTTTGTGCCGATTTTCAACATCACACGAAAATACGTTGGTTTATTAAGTCGCGAATCCTATTAAAGGCGACTGAATAGCTTGGCGTGATTTGCATCTGATAGATACCTTTTGACGAGATACGTTTACGTGTGCTATCAAACTAGATTTTGTTATTCGTCCAATTACAATTCAACCAAAGTCGCTTTTCTGATCCATTTTCATTTTTCACATCGTTGGTCTCCTTTCGTTCAACACCTATGAACCGTATTCTTGTTGACAAATGCATTAAAGTTATGAACGAGAATGGCTATTTTCTCAATACAAGAGATGTATTGACCGGTATTTCTGACCAAGACATAATCGAAACCGGTCAAATACATCTCTTGTATTCTGAAGACACGCACTCTTATTCATACCTTTACATTATCTAACAAAGAGACTCAGGCACTCTCTTTCCCTATTGACTGACTGGTCGAGATAAAGCTTCACTTCATCGGTTTCGAAACCCTGTTCTTGAAGCAGACGGATTATGATCTCTGTTTTCGGTGTTGGGTTAGTCTCCCTTGCCAAAAAAAAAAAAAAGATTTTAAACATTACAGGTGAAAACATAATTTTGAGTTCATTTTTTCATTTGAAAGAAATTACTTTTTATTTATTTGATTTTTATCTATTTCCTTCATGTGATATCAGTAATACTTCGCATGTTACCCCTTAAAGGATATATATTTAAAAGGTCGTATATTTATCTTGTGCCTTTTGTGAACATTGATTGTAAAACGTCTTCACATTGTAATATATTTTCTAGTTCTTGCACTATTGCACCTCTTGTAAGATTTCAGAAAACTCTCTCTTTTTAAATTAATTTGTCTAAGTGTTTCGTTTTGGAATAATAAATGTTTTTCTCTTTACGTCAGATTTTTTTATGTCTGTTTGTTTTTCTTTCTTCCTTTCTTTTATATTTTCAGTTTTGCTTTAATTGCAAGTTAAGATTTTTATTTCGTTTTCTTTTCGCAAACTTTGTTGCTCTGTTTAAACAGCTTTCGTTCTATCTTCAAGTTCATTCAAATAAATTTGCCTTCCTTTTCTTGCAGTTTCATTTATTACACTAAAGGCAATTTATGACCTTTAATTAATTTATTATTATCATTATTATTATTATTATTATCATTATTATTATTATTATTATTATTATTATCACTATCATTATTATCATTATCATTATCATTATTATTATCATTGTTATTAATATTACTATTATTATTATTGTTATTGCTGTTATTATTGATATTATCATTATTACCATTATTGTTGTTGTTGACGTTGTTGTTGATATTATCAGCATCACTATCACTAATAGTGTTAATATTATCATTATTGTCAACTGAACTACTGACATCATCAGCAAAACCTCACAATATAGACAAACTAATAATATTTCGAAACCCTTTGTGCCGATTTTCAACATCACACGAAAATACGTTGGTTTATTAAGTCGCGAATCCTATTAAAGGCGACTGAATAGCTTGGCGTGATTTGCATCTGATAGATACCTTTTGACGAGATACGTTTACGTGTGCTATCAAACTAGATTTTGTTATTCGTCCAATTACAATTCAACCAAAGTCGCTTTTCTGATCCATTTTCATTTTTCACATCGTTGGTCTCCTTTCGTTCAACACCTATGAACCGTATTCTTGTTGACAAATGCATTAAAGTTATGAACGAGAATGGCTATTTTCTCAATACAAGAGATGTATTGACCGGTATTTCTGACCAAGACATAATCGAAACCGGTCAAATACATCTCTTGTATTCTGAAGACACGCACTCTTATTCATACCTTTACATTATCTAACAAAGAGACTCAGGCACTCTCTTTCCCTATTGACTGACTGGTCGAGATAAAGCTTCACTTCATCGGTTTCGAAACCCTGTTCTTGAAGCAGACGGATTAGGATCTCTGTTTTCGGTGTTGGGTTAGTCTCCCTTGCCAAAAAGAAAAAAAAAGATTTTAAACATTACAAGTGAAAACATAATTTTGAGTTCATTTTTTCATTTGAAAGAAATTACTTTTTATTTATTTGATTTTTATCTATTTCCTTCATGTGATATCAGTAATACTTCGCATATTACCCCTTAAAGGATATATATTTAAAAGGTCGTATATTTATCTTGTGCCTTTTGTGAACATTGATTGTAAAACGTCTTCACATTGTAATATATTTTCTAGTTCTTGCACTATTGCACCTCTTGTAAGATTTCAGAAAACTCTCTCTTTTTAAATTAATTTGTCTAAGTGTTTCGTTTTGGAATAATAAATGTTTTTCTCTTTACGTCAGATTTTTTTATGTCTGTTTGTTTTTCTTTCTTCCTTTCTTTTATATTTTCAGTTTTGCTTTAATTGCAAGTTAAGATTTTTATTTCGTTTTCTTTTCGCAAACTTTGTTGCTCTGTTTAAACAGCTTTCGTTCTATCTTCAAGTTCATTCAAATAAATTTGCCTTCCTTTTCTTGCAGTTTCATTTATTACACTAAAGGCAATTTATGACCTTTAATTAATTTATTATTATCATTATTATTATTATCATTATTATTATTATTATTATTATTATTATTATTATCACTATCATTATCATTATTATCATTATCATTATCATTATTATTATCATTGTTATTAATATTACTATTATTATTATTGTTATTGCTGTTATTATTGATATTATCATTATTACCATTATTGTTGTTGTTGACGTTGTTGTTGATATTATCAGCATCACTATCACTAATAGTGTTAATATTATCATTATTGTCAACTGAACTACTGACATCATCAGCAAAACCTCACAATATAGACAAACTAATAATATTTCGAAACCCTTTGTGCCGATTTTCAACATCACACGAAAATACGTTGGTTTATTAAGTCGCGAATCCTATTAAAGGCGACTGAATAGCTTGGCGTGATTTGCATCTGATAGATACCTTTTGACGAGATACGTTTACGTGTGCTATCAAACTAGATTTTGTTATTCGTCCAATTACTGTTTATTTACGAAACGACCTACCTGCATACATGTGTGTTTTTCATTTCGCGTTTTCGAAAAAAAAAATCTCATAATGATGTAAAACGGTATGAAATAAGTAATATCTTTAGTTTCTGTGTAGTTCAGGTCGGGGGAGGGGGGGGGATAAGAAATGGTCCCACGTGACCAGTAACTAAAAACTATTGTAATGTGAGGAATAACTATTCTAATCTTGCACCAAAAGTTCTCTCCCATTTATTGAAGAACAGGGAAAAAATGGTATACTAGTCTAGGTTAAAAAAGTGTTTTTTATTTTTTTCCTTTTCTGTATCACACACCATGAAAGACTGTCGACATCATCTAAGATATCTCACTGAGATGGATCAAGTCAAGAAAAAAATGAGTATCATCATCACTATCTGTTTTATTATTATCATTATTATATTATTATATTATCATTATATATTATCATACTATCACTATTATTATTATTATTATTATTATTATTATTATTATTATTATTATCATTATTATCATTATCATTATCATTATCATAATTATCATTATTATTATTATTATTATTATCATTATTATCATTATATTATTATACAAATATTATTACTATTACTATTATTATTATTATTATTATTATTATTATTATTATTATTATCATTATTATCATTATATTATTATACAAATATTATTACTATTACTATTATTATTATTATTATTATTATTATTATTATTATCATTATTATTATCATTATCATTATATAATATTAGATAAAATGAATGTACAGTTCACATGGCAACTCTGAGTTTTGGAAAGTGAGAAAAGGCTTCCAACCCCTGATTGAGGCTTCATACAAACATACAGCTCATCAGATATGAAACTATATAAACTTCACTCACCTGCCGCGGCTGAGACGAGGAGGCCGACGATGAACGCGATCAGGACGCCCATCTTGCCCGTCTCTCGCTTGTGTTCCTTCCTTTGCTTGAACTGAGGAAAGTAGAGATTAATTTTCTATCTCGTGATATATTAATATATATGTCATATCTGTGTGTGTGTGCGTGCGTGTGTGTGTGTGTGTGTGCGTGCGTGTGTTTATGTGTGTGTGTGTAAAGAGACAGAGAGACAACAGAAGAGAGAACGATTTAGACCCGCGTGATAATGGAAAACACAAATAACAACTTCACTCCAGTCATTCATCTTGTAATCATCATTAGCAGTAGTATCGTTACCTTGCAATTAATATATTTTTTAATAATAAGTAATGCATCACCGTCGCCCTGCCTCGTGTGCATTTTTCCATTGCACGACGTCAAAGAAAATCTATGACTTGAGAGATCCTTCCACTCAAGCTTAGTGTAAATTTTTTGTTTACATAAAACTATTAACTGATATTTCCAAGTTTGATTATTATAAGATTGAATTCACTACGGTTGTTATAAGACTGTTAACGTAATCATTTTAATTGAAGATTACATTTAGTCAAAAAGGTGTACTTAATGAGCTTAATTGATGTTTTAAAAAGTCTAATTATAACCACTTGAAGCAAACTCTACAGCATGTATGTTTATTTTAGTGAAAAGACTTAAATTGACCGAAGAAAATAACAGTGTCATATCCAAAGATGGGTGTTCAGTTTCGACAGAGTAAAAGAAAGTATAGAAAACTGTCAACTCTGTAGAAAGAGCCGGAAGTGAGTAAACGACACCATTTCAAAATCAGCTGAAAATATCGTATCTGAGGCTATTCTCGGGGGTAAACGAGAGGCGGTTAGAATATCACGAGATATGACTCTTTATCAAATCATAATAGTACATATGCATCTACCCGGATACACACACACACACTTCTCCGGCCCGAAAAGACAAAACACAACAACGAAAGGCCGTGATGTGGCTACTGAAGAAATTAATATTAGTCACCAACAGAAGAAGCATCGGTGCATAAATGATGAATATGGGTGAGTGAGTGTGTCTAGGAGTCCGGATGATGAGAGGATGTCTTGACTCCTTTATTGAAAAGTAATTATGAA